ATTGTTTCTTCCTCCAAGATTGTTTGGATTGATTAGTCCTTCCCCACAGCTGCTGCCCCAATGAGTGAATAACAGATCCGTCTCATCTTGTAAAAGCTCTGCTCCGTCTGTGTAGTGAACTACCTTCCCTGTGGAAATAGGACACTACTTTAAAAATTAATCATTGCATTGACTCAAGTTCAAGTTCAGTCGCTCAGTCGTGTCCGACTCTTTGCGACCCCATGAATCGCAGCACACCAGGCCTCCATGTCCATCACAAATTCCTGGAGTTTACTCAAACTCATGCTCATTGAGTCGGTGATGCCATCCAGCCGTCTCATCCTCTCTTGTCCCCTTCTCTCTCCTGCCCCCAATCCTTCCCAGCATCAAGGTCTTTTCCAACGAGTCAACTCTTCGCATAAGGTGGCCAAAGTACTGGAGTTGGAGCTTCAGCATCAGTCCTTCCAGTGAACACCCAGGACTTATCTCCTTTAGGATGGACTGGTTGGATCTCCTTGCAGTCCAAGGGCCTCTCAAGAGTTTTCTCCAACACCACAGTTCAAAAGCATCAATTCTTCAGCACTCAGCTTTCTTTATAGTTCAACTCTCACATCCATACATGACCACTGGAAAAACCATAGCTTTGACTAGATGGACCTTTGTTGGCAAAGTAATGTCTCTGCTTTTTAACATGCTGTCTAGGTTGGTCATAACTTTCCTTCCAAGAAGCAAGCGTCTTTTAATTTCATGGTTGCAGTCACCATCTGCAGTGATTTTAGAGCCCAGAAAAAGAAAGTCAGCCGTTGTTTCCACTGTTTCCCCATCTATTTGCCATATAAAGTTTAAAGGTAGACAAATACCTGTGTGTAAGCATGCACTTTCTTTTTAACTTTATTAATTTGAATTCATTTTTCCGTTTTTAAGCAGAATAGAATATTACTCTTAAACTGGTAAGTTTATGGAAATTTCAGTAGACTCTGTCTCTGGAGATTTTATAAACACAGGCCTATCTGCATCTGATCCTGTTCTCTTCCCTCCTCCCAAAGCATAGACCTCAAGGATGGCCATTGCTCTACCTAGTGCTAGCAATTAATGAAAAAGATACTAAGTTCCCAAAAGTTCACTTCTTTGGTTTGGTTATTTAGGATAACTCTGGTCTAAAAAAGAATTGAAAAGTATTTCATCCTCCTCTGTTTCTGAAAGAGTTTGTATATGGTGGTGCTGTGGTTTTGGTTGTGTTCCCCCAAAAGATACATTGAAACTCTTAACCCCAGTACCTCAAAATGTGACTTTTTGGAATTGTTAAAGATATAATGTTGAAATGAGGTCATAATTAAGGTAAACCTTAATCCAGTATGACTGATGTCATTATAAGAAGAGACACTGGCCTGCAGGGGAGAATGATACGTGAAATAGAGGTGGAAGTTGAAGTACTACAGCTGCAAATTAAGGAACACAGGGTTGCTGGCAAACCACCAGATGCAAGGAAGAGGCAAGGAAGGATTCACCGCTGCAGGCTTCAGAGGGAAAATAGCCCTGCTGACACCCTAATTTTGGACTTCTAGCCTCCAGAGCTTTGAGATAAATACCATTGTTCAAGTCACCTGGTTTGTGGTGCTTTTTATGGCATCCCTAGCAAACGAATAATAGCCTTGTATTCTTTTCTTTCAAGCCTGATAGAACTCACCCAGTGAAATATTTCTTTGTTTGGAGTTTTCTTTGTGGAAACATTTTAAATTGTGAATTCAGTTTCTCTAAAAAACAGTACTGAGCTATATAGATTTTCTTTTTTGTGTGTCTGTTTTGGCAGTTGTGTATATCAAGGAATTTGTTCATTTCATCTAAGTTACTGAATTTATTGGCATAAAGTTGAGCTACTTGTGATTTTTTTTTATGTCTGTAGGGCCTGTAATGATGTTTCCTTTTTTATTCTTCATTTTGGTTCTGTCTTTTTATCTTCTTTGATCAGTCTAGCTTAGGGTTTCCTCACTTGGGGGCAATTTTGTACCCTCTGTCTTGGGGGTTTGGGCGTTTGGCAGTATCTGGAAGCATTTTCAGTTATCACTACTTGGGGCATCTAGTGGCTGAAGGCCAGGGATGCTGCTGAACTAAACATCCTGCCATGCACAAGGCAGCCTCTTGCAATAGAAATTCAGTCACTCCATAATGTCAGTACTGCTGAGATTAAGAAACCTGTTCTAGGATTTACAGTGTACACATCCTGCTTTCAAATATTATGCCACTTCATATTTAATATAAGCAGCTTACAGTACATTGTTTCACTCATCCCTACCCATCCTTTATGCTGTTCTGGACATACATTTTATTAGGTTGATGCAAACATAATTGTGGTTTCGGACCGTGAGTTTTAAATCATTATAACTAGACTCAAACACATCTTTATTAATCAAAACAGGGAACATTACAATCAACACGTTTTTGCCAATGAGAAATAAGTTTGTTTATTCCTGTAACGTAAAAATCCATTCTTTGGGATTCAACAAACTCTCAGGAAAGCCTTTTCTGCCTCCTGCTGGTTATGGAAGCATTTTCCCTGCAAAAAGTTGTAGAGATGCTTGAAGAAGTGGTAGTTGGTTGGTGAGAGGTCAGGTGAATATGGCAGATGAGGCAAAACTTTGTAGCCCAATTCGTTCAACTTTTGAAGCACTGATTGTGTGACGTGAGGTCTGGCATTGTCATGGAGAAGAATTGGGCCCTTTGTGTTGACCAGTGCCAGCAGCAGGCATTGCAGTTTTTGGTGCATCTCACTGATTTGCTGAGCATGCTTCTCAGATGTGATGGTTTTGCTGGGATTCAGAAAGCTGTAATGGATCAAACGGGCAGCAGACCACCAAACAATGTCTGTGACCTTTTGGTGCAAGTTTGGCTTTGGGAAGTGCTTTGGAGCTTCTTAGTCCAACCACTGAGTTGATCATAGCTGCTTATTGTATAAAATCCACTTTATATTGCCTGTCACAATCCAATCGAGAAATGGTTCATTGTTGCATAGAGAAAGAGAAGATGGCACTTCAGAATGACAATTACTTTGATTTTCGGTCAGCTCATGAGGTACCCACTTACCAAGCTTTTCCACCTTTCCAGTTCACTTCAAATGCCAAATGACTGTAGAATGGTCCATGTTGAGTTCTTCAGCAACTTCTCATGTAGTTGTAAGAGGATCAGCTTCCATGCTGGCTCTCAATCGGTTGTTGTCAACTGATGATGGCCGGCCACTACGCTTCTCATTTTCAAGCCTCTCGTCTCCTTTGCAAAACTTCTTGAACCACTTCTGCACTGTACATTTGTTAGCAGTTCCTGGGCCAATTGTATTGTTGATGTTGTGAGTTATCTCTGCTGCTTTACAACCCATTTTGAACTTGAATAAGAAAACTGCTCGAATTTGCTTTTTATCTAGCATCATTTCCCTAGTCTAAAATAAATATAAAACAGCAAGTAATAAGTCATTAGCAAATAACTAAATAAATGCACATTAAAATGATATGTAACATAACCACATTTAACAGTATATTCCAGTATCAAATGGTAAATTTAAACAATGCAAAAACTGCAGTTACTTTTGCACTTCCTATTACTATTGCACAACCTAATACTTCGATTTATATTATAAACCCCACAGCACATGGGATTTTGGTTTAAACAGTCTATTAAGGAAATTTTTAAATGAGGAAAACATACCTAGTTTATATGTTTTCAGCATTCTTCATGCTTTGACTAGATCCAAATTCCCGTCGGTGTTTCTTCTTTCCACATGGAGAACTATTCTCATGTGTCTCACAGTGTAGGTCTACCAGTGACATATTCTCTCAGCTTTTGTTTGAAAACCTGTATTTTGTCTTCCATGTTTCAAGTATATTTTTGCTTAGTATAGAATTCTTCATCGACAGTTTTAAAAATAAAAGATACCATTCTATTGTTTTCTTGTTTGTCTAGATTATAATAAGAAATAAAGCTATTGTTCACTAATACATTTTTTAAAAATCTGTATACTTTAGATAATTTTCTAGATTTTATTTAAATTTAATGCATTGTGCTTAAATGTTTTAAACAGACCAGTTCTTGTGTTTTCCTCTCCTCTTTGTTCCTTTCCTTTTTTTCCCCCATCACTTATAAAAAGTGTATTTTGTGGCAAGTTATTTCTTTGAGCCTGTTTCCTCATCTGTAATATCAGGCTACCAATGATGCTTATAGGTTTGTTGTGAAGGAAAAATGAAAAAAATGAGAAAAAATGAAAAAAGAAAAAGTCTAGAACTTGAAGGGATTCATAAACATGATAGCACGGTACACAGATATCTTGCTCCTTACTCACCTTCAGCTCTCCTGACCTCAAGGCTCATGCATGGTAGCAGACGAGTGGGTATTGTAGTCTGAGTCCTTTCCTGCCTCATGGCAGCAGCTGCATGTAGACGTGTTCCTGCCAACCACATACTCCCCAGAAGCTGCAGCTGAACTGAGGAGCCCTGGTTGGACTATGACTAAGCACTGTTGCCACTGCTTATGATTTCTGCTCCTACCAATAGTTTACGTGTTGATTTTAAATAAATCTGATATTTTACTCAAGCAAGGTTGAAAGATGTTCTTTCAGGATACTGAAATTTCCTGAATTTCTGTTAATTATTTGAAAATAGTAAAAATCCATGACATTGTATTTTACACAATTTACACTTTCCACTTCTCAACTATGCAGGCTAGCCATGGTATTTAAAGTAACACATTTAAATATTAGGAAAATTTTAGAAATAATTAACAGTTTTGAGTGGTGGGGCTTAAAATCAACAATAATTCTTTCCAGTGGCTCTAATTACTTTAAAATATACAATAATAATATTCATCTTAGAGGATGCATTCATTGAAGTGTCCTTTTCTGTTCAACAAGAGAATCTTAACTGGATATGTCAAGAGTTGATTGGTTTGGTATTTTTGATCCGTACCTGGCCACAAGTAGCAGCATTCTGACAACTATGTTAAATATCCCCTCATGGTGTTGCTTCTCTTCTTCTCAGTGGGCCTTTGGAGTGACACTGTGGGAGCTCATGACCCTGGGCCAGACACCCTATGTGGACATCGACCCGTTTGAGATGGCCGCATACTTGAAAGATGGTTACCGAATAGCCCAGCCAATCAACTGCCCTGATGAACTGTAAGTTTCTTTCTGAGCTTGAAGACATGGATTTGATTCCATTTACAATGATTGGATGAAAGAAATAAGAACAGGTGTCCATACTAATACAGAGACTACTCTTGTGAGAATCATGCCTCTTTGGGCTTGCATTGTACTCCTGTGGAGAAACCATAAGCTTCCCTGAGGGCTTAGTGGTAAAGAATCCGTCTGCAATGCAGGAGATACGGGTTCAGTCCTTCGGTCAGGAAGAGGCAGAAATGGTGACCCACTCCAGTATTCTTGCCTGAAAAATCCCATAGACAGAGGAACCTGGTGGGCTACAGTCGAAAGGGTCACAAAGAGTCGGACACAACTCAGTGAGCATGCACACAGAGCAACCACAAAGTCAGCCAGACTCATTCACTCTTGAATGCATTTGACATTAGGACTTTTTTGTCTCATATTTGTAGTGATTAATCCAAGATACTCATTTGCATAGTGAGAAAATATTGAATACACTGTTATTCATTCAGTCACCCAGTTATGTCCAACTCTGCAATCCCATGGACTGCAGCATGCCAGATTGCTTTGTCCCCCGCCATCTCCCGAAGTTTGCCCAAGTTCATGTCCATTGCATTGGTGATGCCATCCCACCATCTCATCCTTTGACACCCTCTTCTGCTTCTATATAGAGCCCTTCTCTTTGCCATCTGGCCTTGCCAGCTGGTGTGAATTGATATACGTATAAGGAAGATGTTTTGGTCTAGTGAGTGGAATATCTCCTGTGTCCTGCTTTTACCACATAGCTAGTCTTCCCATATAATGGGATCAGAGTGGGCAGGAGGCTCTTCAGGGGTGATGGAGTGCACAGTGATTAAGTCTCAGTTCCAGAATCCCCTCAGGTTTTTATACTGTGGTGAGGGGGCAGCTTTGTACAGATCTTACTACAGATCCAGGATTCTTTCAGCGTAGTTACAGCTTCTTCTTCCTCCCAAGTTTTTTCTCTCACAACTTACATATAATTGACCCTTGAACAGTGTGGGTTTGAGCTCTGCAGGTCCACTTCCATGTAGATTTTTTTTTTCAGTGATAAACCAGTCTGTGGCTGGTTGAGTCTATGGATGTGGAGGAACTGGGGATATGAATGGCTGACTATAAGTTATATGCAGATTTTTGACTTTTGCAGAGGGTCAGCTCCCCTCGCCCCGTGTTCTTCAAGAATCAACTGTACAGGATAATGCAGATTATTATTTTGACTGTTTTAAATAGTTACATAAAATCTTTACTTGCTGGTATATTTTGACATGTTTCAGAATTGAAATCTACATGTAATATCCAGATAACTCATTTTTGCTCTGCGAAGAGATTGATTTTTAGTATATCTTCCTCTCCACACCCACATTTAGACCGAAAACGTAGCTGGTATCACATTGATCAAAAGGTTAAGAGTAACATCTTGTGAAAAAACCCAAACAGACTTTTTGGCCAACCGGCATATCGTCAGTAGGCAAATTTTCTGGTTCTGTCACTGCAGATTTGCTGTGATGGCTTGTTGCTGGGCCTTGGATCCGGAGGAGAGGCCCAAGTTCCAGCAGCTGGTCCAGTGCCTCACCGAGTTCCATGCAGCCCTGGGGGCCTACGTCTGACTCCGCTGTCACCGTCCCGCAGCGTCAGGAGGAGGGCGCCTGCCGGGCCTGCTTGGGGCCGGTCTTGGATGCCACATTACGTCACGCAGCACCACAGCAGCACATTCGTCTTCCAGAACACCGTGCCTTAGGAATGCTTTAGAATTTGAACTTTATAAGACAGACTTAATGATGTGGAATATTTTCTAGATATCACTTTTATTAGATTGAACTGAAAATGTGTAAATTTTTTGGCCAAAATTTTTTTTAAACATAGTTAACTTTGGACTAGGGTACATTGTTACAAAATAAATAAACCGTTTTTAAAATTGTTTAAATATGGATATTTGGAATAGCTATCTTAGTGCCAACTGCTTTTTATTTTTTTACTTCATCAATGTAGGTGATTCACCTTTAAAGTTTTTTGTTTATTTTATTATCACCAGTCTTGGGAATGGTTTGTCTTCAAGATGCAGTACTTCTTCTTAGGGAAAGAAAAACAGAAAAAGTGTTGGTTTGCCTTGTACAGGAAAAGCTTATGTTGGAGGAAGAAAACTTAAAGAAAAGCTAGAGAGGAAAAAAGAAAAATACTTGGAATAGAAACTAGCCTGTCATGGAAAATTGTTTCTTTTTTTTTTTAATGAAAAAGAGTTCTGCTTTCTTATTTAGGGGAAAGTAGGAACTGAGTTTGTTGAAACATCTTGAATTTGGCAGAACCTAGCATTTCTGAGAGCCAGGAGTGGACTTGGGGGCACGTCAACAGTAAACAATGGTGATTTTATTTATTTTTACTCTTTGGAAAGGGAGATAACAGAATTCCAGAAAGAGAAATCCTGTTTTTATAGTTAAGACTCCCTTTTCTTGCACCTAGAATAGTGCTATGCACAGAATGGGTGCTTGAGTTGTTGTGAGTTGAAAAATGTAAACAGGTAGATTTTGTGCTTATTTTCAAGGCTGACTTAAGTATAAAATGTTTTTTTAAAAAAAAAACACTTGAAAAATTAAAAGATTTGTTTTATATTATGACAGTATTGAAAATATTCTTCATAATGAATGATTGTTTGTGTCTGGTAAGTCTTTGAACATACAACAGCTGGATACCCTGTTTCATTTCGTGCATGTCTCACTCAGGCTCCCAAGCCCTAACACAAGTGCAGTTGACTCTACTCAGCCTCCAGGTTCTAATAAAAAGTTGAGATTATTATTACAGGACAGTGTTACAACACTAAAGCTTTTCTCCAGAGCCATTAAATTCAGGGTATATGTCTTTATGCTTGGCTATAGTTGGCCTAAGGCAGAGGTGAATGGGCCTCTTAAATGTTAATAGCTAGGCCTGCAGGTGCCTGCCTCTGCTCCCATCCTCACGAGAGAGTAGAGAGGGTACATAGCAGTTGAAGGTTTTTGCTGTTCTTTTTTTTTTTTTGCTTTTGCTCTTCTTAAAGGAGCTTTATGAATCAGCAGTTCATTTGGGAAAACAGCTCACATGGTACGTGCTCTCCTACAAGCAGCCAAGACCGTGGTCTTTCTGTGTGCTTCTTTTTAATACTGGTTCTTCAGTTTTATGAAATACTCAGCCCCCTGAAGCCAGCTCTTTTAAAGCTCTTTGAACTTTGTAAGTCATAGAAGTTTGGGTTCACAACCTGCAGTCTTAGAAAGCATTCAGTCAACAAATATTTATAGCATTTACTGTATATTATTATGCACATGAAGTGAGTGGTTAAGCTCTGGCATCACTTCTAACATTCAGTGCGTGTTTTTAAGTGTTCGGGACAGTATGTTGTTTAGATATCACAGTTTGGTACACAAGATCAGTTCAAAGAAAAAAGTGCTATCGTTGACGTCTACCCTAAGTTAGCATGTAGTAAGAGGTGCTCTCAGTTTGCTTGGATGTGCAGTGCCTTTAACTGTATCTCTGTTTATAAGTTATTTTATGTATGTATATTTGTTTTAGAGGTAGTTTAAGACTTAGGTTTTTCTTGCTGAACTACTTGGAGTCATTGACTTCAACGAAAACAGCAGTTATAAGATTTCCATGGCTGGTCTCGTTCCAGTGGTTTGTGGATATTACTGAATAGATTTTGTAGAAAATATAATTTTTATAGGAAAGAAGCAAATTGGCAAAGCACTGATGTGGTATTAGCTGACTCTAGTGACCAAGAGCTCTGTTACATTCTCTCCTTTCTTGTAACACCCCCATTGTAAGGAAATTTTCTTTCTAAAAGTAAGGAAGTTTGGGTTATTCATTCAGTTTGTATTTATTGAGAGCCCATTGTACATCTGGCCTTCAAGATATGCAGGGAACAAGGCATTGATGTCCCTCCCATTTTAGGTCTCACATTCTAGTTAGAAGACTCAGATAATGAACATAAGTAAGATTTTGGTGTTATTAAAAAAAATATACAAAGTGGTATCATAGAGAGTAACTTTAAATGTCTTTAGCCAGGCTTCTCTGGGCAGCTGGCATTTGAGTTGAAATCTGAATGACAAAAAGCCAGCTATGAGATGATCCAGACGGAAGGGACATCCTTAGAAGCCTTAAAGCAGGAACGAGCTGGCCTCCAGTGTCAGCCATCCCTGTTCGTTCTCCAGCTGCTGCCACTGGAAGAAGAGAATCAAGGCCAGTGTGGCTGGGATGTGGTTAGGAAAGAGGGCTGCAGAGAGGGAGAGACAGACCTGTGTGGGGAGGGTGGGTTGTAAGCCAGGCGACACGTTTATATTCTAAACACAATGGAATTTCATTCAAGGAGTGTTTAAATAAGGGTGTGACATGTTCTGATTTGTCTTTTACAAAAGATTATGCCAACTTTTTGTAAAGATTAGGCAAGGGTGAAGCTAATGAGACTGTAAGAAACTGTTGCATAGTTTAGGAGAGACAAGATAGTGGTTTGGTACTAATCTGAGTAGTGCAGGAAATCAGGAGGGACAGATTGGACCTGATCTGTTGGATGTTGGAGGGTGGGGTGAAGAAAGAAAGAGCACAATCAGGAATGATAATTTGACGCTTGAATGTATAGTTGAATCTGTATGGCCAAACTATACACTGAGATGGAGGAAAAAAAAGAAAAAAAAAAAAAACACGGCAGAACAGGATTTACTTTGGCAGGGGAAATCAGTAACTTTGTATAACCCATGTTTGAGATGCTGATTGGTAATCTAAGTGGAGATTGTTAAGGAGATAGATGAGAACCTGTGGCTCAGGGAGGAGGTCTTAGTGAACACATAACTGTAGGGGTGTAACATGTAGATCATATTTAAAGCCATGGCATTGGTTGAACTTGGTTTGGGAGCAGTTGTAGATGGAGAGAAGATCCTGGGACTGAGTCCTGAGCACCCCAACTTGTAATGGTCTAGTGAAAGAAGAAAAAATAACCAAAGACTGAGAAGAAACCACTCTACTTGGAAAAAGCAACATCAACAAAAACAGGAAAAGCAAAAGAAAATATTTCAAAATGGAGGAAGGAGCCTGTGTGGGATTTGGCATTATGGAATTTTTGGCAGAATCAGTAGGGCTTGGAGCAAGTTGAAGTGTAAATACTAGGTGGGAAAGTGGAGACCTTACTTGAACGTTTTGCTGTGAAGGGAAATGGAGCTGTAATTAGAGGAAATCAGAGAAGAGGGGTAAGGAGATGCAGGGAGTGGGCACGGGCATGTTTGTTTTCCAGGTGAAGATACAGTATCAGGAAATGTTTCCCTGTTCATGGGAATGACTAAGCAGAGGGAGAAAAACCCCTTGGGTGTGGAGTCCTCTTCATTCTTATCATTTGGTCTGCAAGCATGAAAACCTCTTTAGCCACCGATCTTTTTCCTTGTGGTAAAGGTTCTGTTTTTGCTGGGGGGGAGTGTGAGGGTGAAGGGAAGTAGTGCACAGAACTTTTAACATTTCCATCATGTGAAAACCTGAGCCCACATGCGCTAGAGCCTGTGTTCTGCAACAAGAGAAGCCACTGCAATGAGAAGCCTGGACACCACAGCTAGAGAGGAGCCCCACTCACTGCAACTGAGGAAAAGTCCTTGCAGCAACGAAGACCCAGCACAGCCAAAATAAAGAAATGATTTTTTTAAAAAGATGGAAATTGATTATATTTGAAATTATTCCTCTGAACAAATAATAGTATGCCATTTGTTCATATTTGGTTTATCAGTATTTCAAAACTAAAACATTTTTTAGCAATTTGTTTTTGGAGAGGGGTAAGCACCCCCTTGGGGATATACAAAACTGGGAAAAACATGTATAGTTTGAAAATAAAATCACTACCCTTTTAAAAAAAAGCCCACTGCATGGCATCTGAATGTTACATTTGGAATCCACTTTTTTGTGTCTTTCTGAGTCTACTTTTTTTTTGCCTTCTTGGCTCCACAAATCAGTCCTGCTGATGTTAGCTAGCATGCATCATTAGGAACAGTATTTGGCTGCAAGCAATTGAAACATGATTATAATCACTTAACGAAATACAGGCTTATTTCTCTCACATAACAACTCCAGAGAGAGAGAAGCCAGAGCTAGTGCAGGGATCCCAGGATATCACCCATTACCCACTACCTCCATTTTGGCTCCTCTGTCAGCTTTAACATGTTTTTGTTGTGAGGGACCCCCAAGGCAGGAAGATGAGAAAAGGATGAAAGGCAACAGGCATGAGTTAGCTGAGTCTTTTTCTTGAGGAGACAACTTACCCATAGTATACATCCACCAGCATCTTACTGGCCAGAGCTGTAGCACATGGGCACCCCTAGCAGTCCACCATCTTGGGAAATAAAATTTTGTTGGATTTTTTTCAACAGATTTATTGAGATTTAATTCACATATCACCCATCCAGTGTACAACCCTGATTTTCAGTGTATTCATAGACTTGTGTGATCACCACAATTGAATTCATTTTTACCAATGCGAAAAGAAAGAAACCCCATACCCATCAGCAGTCGCTCCTAATTCCATTCCTACCCTGCCCTCGGCAACCACAAGTGTGTTTTCTGTCTCTCTAGATTTGCCTGTCCTAGACCTTTGATGTAAATGGTATCATAT